GGTTGACATTTGCCGTTGTCTCTAGATCTGTGAGCGGTCGATGAGTGGAGGGACGAACTTGGAGCCTGTGCCAGCCTTTGTCAGGGCGGAGATGCACCCAAGTGGTTACTATATAAAGCCATGCAATGGAAATAGCATCATTTATATAGTGGATCATGTTGATCTAAAGGTGGGTTGGGTCGATAGGAAGTGCTTTCCCCCTCTCCGTCATGATTTCCTTTCTTTTTTTTTTTTTTCTTTTTTTTTCTTTTTTTTTTGAACTGAACATGCAAAATTTATTTCCAAAACATTATGAGGCCGAGGTCCTCAAAGCCAACCCGGAGAATGAAGTTTTTCTTAGAGATGTTTTTTGAAAAAAAAAAACTGGCAGCATTAACTTATTTTGGTTTACGCCGAATTATAATAACTGGCTTTTTTTTTTTTTTTTTTTTTTTTCATCGTCCTTTTCCTTTTTCCCTATGGTTTTACGGGAAGAACAGGGGCCTGGACCCACTAGCGAAGTATTCTACGACATGTGACACAGTTTTATGTTTTTTTGGAAAATACGAAGTGATTTTTTATTTGCATGAATGGATCGTTTTCTGATTTAAAATGGATTGAAATAGCACATAAAACTATGAAGAACAGCTGTGCACCCGAATTCATGGGTTGGTACGATCTCCTTCACGTAAGTCTTCATAGTGATGTGCCGTGGCAATAAAATGTGTCTACGAACACATTCACGAGGATGAACGAGTAACGGGTATTGGGATACATTCCTCGCCATGTATCTCATGATGCCTTTAGCAGGCCATCCGACAGACGGGGAAGCGTTCCTGTCAGATCCACCATAATATTCGAATTTCACATTTCGAGTTCTATTTCTCAGAGCCAAAAAAAAAAAAAAACGAAGTCTGGAAATCAACCCCCCCCTTTAGAGCCCATAAAATCCAGACTTCCCGCCCACGCAAAGCCACGAGCTATCATGTCCAAGTTAGTCCAACTCTGTTTTTTTTTTTTTTTCGACGCCTCTCATTGGCCGGGAGGTGGGCATCTTTACAGTCCCCGCTCGGAAACTACCAGGCCGTCGAGATCCGATCTATTCGACGGCCGTACTGAGTCACTCGATGCCACACATGATCGAAATCCTGAACGGCGTGGTAGAATACCTTGCTAGTGGGTCCAGGCCCCAGGGCAAAGGAAGTTGTCAGGAAGTTGTCGTCGGTCACTCAGGGTGGAGTAATTCAGTAATGGGGCCGCGCTCCACTACTCATGAAATGACATTGTGCAAAATGAGAATGAATCTTCCGCTAGAACATGGTATGATACACCACCATATTAATTTTCTGCCTTTTGTGAACGTCCTGACTCCTGAGTAGTGGAATGAGGCCCATGGGAGGGTAGACGGTTGTTGACTCAAAAAACATGGCTGAATTTTTTAAGTCCACTAGAACAAGGACCTCTTACTAGCATCTCCTTTTGTGAAATTTGAGTTTTTTGACTTTTTTTCCGTTTTAGCATTTCGTACTTGAGTGACCTGTCGGATGAGGGCCATATTTTCGGGATGAGTGGTAGAGTCTCATGAATGATCACTCACCCCATAAAAATGGCCCTTACGGGACAGCCAAGGCTGCGGTCATTCAAAGATAAATTTTTGGCTGTGGTCGGGATGGGCTTGGCCGGGTGCCTTACCCAGCCTGCAAGGCCACGGGATAAATGTAAGGGACGCCGGACCCGGTTTCGGGCTATAAAAAAGAAGAGTATGATCTGTTGAAAAAAGAAAAAAGAAAAAAAAAAAAAGAAAGGAGTTTGAAAATACATTTGGGGAAAAAACAGTTTCAAATTGCACTTCGGGCAATGTATACAAGCTATTTTTCCCGTCAGTCAGGTCAGGTAGGGTTACGTTGAGGGGGGTGTTGTGTTGGGGCGAATGCCCAAAGTGTGTAATTTCAAACTGTTTTTGTGACTGTACTGAAGTTACTTCACCTTCCTCCTCCCTCTCCCCCACCCACCCACCACCCCCCCAAAAAAAAAACAGAATCAATGTCTGACTTGTGCATCTGTCATCCTTTCGTTGTGCTCAATTGGCTTTGAAATTCCTCTTCAGCCTCTTTCTGTCCCAGAAGTATTAAGACCACTATACGAGTCCTCTGCGGCCTTGGCTCAGCGGCAAACCATGGAGGTGAGAATTGCTGGCGTGCCCTATTCATTGGAATCCCAACCTCCCGTAACATTTAAAAGTATAATTGAACTCTGACGAAGTATCATTGCAAAAAAAAAAAAAAAAAAAAAAAAAAAAAAAAAAAAAAAGAAAGAAAGAAAGAAGAAGAAGATTTGATTGGTTTCCATGACATTCCATGTCAGTTTCATGTAATAAAATAATATGGAGTGACTTGTGAACCTCTAAGACTTGAGCTTTTATTTTTATTTTTTTAATTTTTTTTTAGAATAAAGCTTGAGCTTTTAGCTTTCCGAACTAAGTCTTCCTGTTTTGTTCAAGCTTTTTTCACACTCACTTAATTTCAATCTGCAAATCCAGACCACACATGTGGCAAAAAAAAACAAAGGGGTTGCTTTTCCACACTTCATTTCAATCTGCAAATCCGGATGACACATGTGGCAAAAAAAAAAAAAAAAAAAAAAAAAAAAACGGTTGCTTTTCCACACTTTATTTGAATCTGCTGCAAATCCCAACAACATTGTTACTAACTTACTATAGATAGGAAGCAAAGACGAAGCGGAAGAAGAATGAACGAACGATGAACGAAAACGAAAGCTTTTCTTTTAAATTTTCTTTTTTTTTCTTTTAAAAAAATATATTTTTTCTCTTCTTTTCTTTAAAAAAAATAAATATTTTTTCTTTTTCTTTTTCTTTTTTCTTTTCTTTTCTTTTCTTTTCTTTTCCTTTAAATTTTATTTTCTTGGGATACTTCCATGGCAGAGTCTGACCAGTTTGAAATTCTCTAATGTTCTCAGACTGATCTTCTATGATCCTCCTGCCGTTGACTGCAGGCCTTGAGATACTTGAGGCGGTTAGCGTCCGATTCCAACCTGGACTCACCGAGATCTAATGGTCACCAAGCTCTGGCATGGAGAGGCATTGCTGAGAGGATAGCCAGGTAGGTAAACCTTAGTTCCGAAAACTGAGTTCCAAACTGAGTCCAAACTGAGTCCCAAACTGAGTTTCAAACTGAGTCCCAAACTGAGTCCCAAACTGAGTCCCAAACTGAGTCCCGAACTGATTTCCAGACCAAGTTCCGAACGTCAGTCCCAAACTGAGTCCCAAACTGAGTCCCCTTGACTATAATTTCTCTCCCCTTGTGTCTCCCTCCTCTTTGAAATTCTCTTTGAAATTTCTCTCCCCTTGTCGTTCCTGGGGGCAATGTCCGACTTATCCGATTTACTCCTCCTGGTGCGTGCAAGTTGCAACCTTTAATGCAGACGGGAAATGCACAGCAGGTTAGAGTCGGTTAGAACCCGACCAGGTTTGATGAATTCACCTCCTCAAGTGCTAAGAAATGACATTGCGTTTTTTAAGACTTAAGTTACTGGGTTATTAAGACACTCAATAACCATATTTAGTCATGGGATGCATTACCCCATTCCTGATCACTGCAGGTTTGTCACACAGGGACCCCCGTGTGAAATCCAGGGCACGCTCGATGCATGACCATCCAGCCAGCCGAGGACGGGTGTCGAGGCAGCAGGGGTCCCATTTGGGGAACTGGGTCCCAGGGCCTGAAAACTGGGAAACTGCAGTGAATACCTGAGTTTGGGGTGTGAAGGGTGGCTAACAGACACTTAATGGCTACCTCCAAGCCCCAGAGGGCCAGAGGCCATTGCCACTGCCCTCACCACCGGGGCCCTGGCGCCCCGTCACCACCAGCACTCCCCTTGCGGCCACCCCTGCCACTCCTTCGCCTCGAGTCCTCTCCTAAGAGTCTCCTTCCACCCCCCACAACTGCCTCTGCCACCCCCTGCCTCAATCCCCACCATGACCCCCACCAACCTCGCTATGGCCGCCGCGGCAGCTCCGCCCCACCCCCAACCTTGATGCGACCGCAGCCCAAGCCATCGCCAGCGCCAGTGGGTAGATACCACCACTCTGCCACCGCCGCTGGCCCAACCCAGCTGCGTCTCGTTCCTGGTCCTGGCCCTGGCCCTGCTTGGTCCCATCAACCGTCCCAGGGGGGCGAGGGGGGGGAGAAGTGGTGGTCCCCAGGGGGGATGCAAGGAACACTCGCCCGAGTAGGTGCTGGTGCTGCGTACCGCCGCACACAGTGTCACTCCTTTTCAAAGATAAAAGGCTTTTTTTCTATGTTTATGTTTCTTTTTCTTGGTTTTTACCCCCCTCCTCCACCCTGAACTGCCGTTTCGCCGAAATGGCCTTTTTTGTTTTTTTTTTTTGAACGAAATTGAAACCGAGTTTTTTGGCCGAAAACTCGTCCTCCTGAGGATCCGGCATTCTTAAAATGCTGGACCCCCTGGATGTATTTCGACTCAGATTGACACCAGATACATCCAGGTGATCCCCCATGGATGTATCTGGTATGAAATAATTAAGTCCACATACATCCAGGGGGTCTAAGAACACTGGACCCTCAGGAGCAACGAATTTGGACGAGTTCTCGGCCAAAAAAATCGGTTTCAATTTCGTTCCAAAAAAAATAAAAAATTTCCACCCACGCTGGGGTTCAGGGCTGGAAGTCACAAACCCCTGCTCATTAGGATGCACCTGCATTTCCTGTATCTTTCCTAAATTCCTAGCTAAGTTCTTAATGTGCATAAATAGAGGAGAAGGGCGAGTGTCAAGGTGTGTGTAGGTCCAGTGTACGAGCAAGCTCCGAACAACCATTGTACTATGGGATTGCTATTGTTCGGACCGTTGAAGAAACTCTCCTTGAGGCCCTTGAGGGTTGAGGCTGTGGACGATTGGCACTTCTCATGGTGAATTGACACTTGAAAGAATGCATGATTGTTTCCATCCTGGTCAGGATGGTTCCACAAGGTCTAGCAAAGGCCTAGTAAACATCTAGTGACATGGCATGGGCCTAGTAAACATACTAACATAGTGACAACACAGGACAAATCATGGTTTGGTTCATCTTGGTTCCGCTTCTGTCCCTGTTTGTCTGTTTCTCTCTCTCTCTCTCTCTCTCTCTCTCTCTCTCTCTCTCTCTCTCTCTCTCTCTCTCTCTCTCTCTCTCTCTCTCTCTCTCTCTCT